ATGGGATCGAGCCGTGCACTGGGTTCCGTGCTGACAGTGCTGAGCCTGCTTGGGATTCTGGGTCTCCCTCTCTCTCTGCCCCTCCCCCACTTGTGCACACTTTCTCTTTCTCTCAAAATAAACTTCAACAAATCTGTTAATGATTTAAATAGGAAGTTAAAGCAGGGAGAATTTAAACTGTGAGCTGGCGTCATCATTTTGGTCCCTAAGTGCTTCTTCTTATTCCTTAAGCGAACTTTTTTTACATTTATTTATTTTATTTTTTATTTTTTTATGTTTATTCATTTTTGAAAGACAGAGAGAGACAGAGCACGAGCGGGGGAGGGGCAGAGAGAGAGGGAGACACAGAATCGGAAGCGGGCTCCAGGCTCCAAGCTGTCAGCACAGAGCCCGACGCAGAGCTTGAACCCACGAACTGTGAGATCATGACCTGAGCTGAAGTCGGATGCTCAACGGACTGAGCCACCCAGGCGCCCCCCCTTAAGCGAACTTTTGATTGAAGCATACATTCAGGAAAACACACACGCCCTAAGCATGGAACAAAAATAAAGAGTATCAATATTCTGATTCTGTTACCTTTTATTCATTCTTGTCTGCTTTTTCAAATTCCACGTCAATGAAACCATACACGCTGTTTTACGTATTGCTTCTTTCACTCAACACTGTTTGAGGTTTACCCGTGGCTGAGTGTAGCAACAGTCCAACCTCCGATGCTGTGTACCACTGTGCTAACAATGCTAGAACTTAGTGTCCACTCTCCTGGGGATAAATGCTGTTCTCTTCCCTACATTTATTTATTTATTTTTGAGGGAACAGAGAAGGGGCAGAGAGAGAGGGAGACAGAGAATCCCAGGCAGGCTATGCGCTGTCAGTGCAGAGCCTGATGCGGGGCTGGAACTCACGGACCCTGAGATCACGACCTGGGCCGAAATCAAGAGTTGGCCACTTTACCAAGTGAGCCACCCAGGCCCTCCTTTCTGACTGGAGATTATTACGAATACGCTGTTCTGAACATTCTTCCACACGTCCTTTAGCGTGCCTCTGTCTCTGCTTTCGCTGGGCATCCACTTGGGACAGAATTGCTGGAGCATAACGTAGGCACCAGCTGTATTCCACCGGCCGTATGAGATACTGCCAATCTCCCAATGACACTGCAGCACATACAGTCTTACAGCTACTGCACGGGACTTCCAGGGGCTTCCCGACCCTCCTGTACCGTCAGCCTTTTAAACTGTAGTCAATTCTGGTGACGGTAATGGTATTTCATCGTAGGATTTCATTTGAGTTCCCCTGATGTCCCATCACACCCGAGGAACACCCTTTCATATGCTGACAGAGCACCCGAATATCATCTTTTTAAGCACCTTTTCATGTATCTGGCCATTTTCGGCTGTCACTTTCATAGTGTAAGTGTTCTATACTCATAGGTACTCTCTACGTATTCTGATTGAAAGTCCCGTATTGAGTGTCTGCACGGCAAGGAGACCGCATGGGAGGGCATTTCATTCAGTGGTGTCTCCTCATCAAAAGACGTTCTCAGTTTTAACGAAATTGAATTTTATCAATCTCTTCTTTTACGCTTAGCAGCTTTCTGTGTGCTGTTGGGAGAAATCTTAATCTACCCAAAGACCGTGAGACTATGTTCCCATATCTCCTATATGCTTTTAACTCACACAACTGAAGAAACTCAGTTTGGCAGAAAAACAGCTCTAGGGGAGTACTGAGAAATGTGGCCAGGGCCATAAACCAGGTCCAGGTTATAATGGGTTTTGAGGGGCCCCTGGGTGGCTCAGTCAGTTAAGCGTCCAACTCTTGATCTTGGCTCAGATCATGATCTCATGGTTCGTGATTGTGAGCCCCTCCTCAGGCTCTGTGCTGACAGCTGGAACCCTACTTGGAATTCTCTCTTTCCCTCCCCCTCTCTCTGCCCCTCCCCAACTCATGCTCTCGCTTGCTCTCTCTCTCTCTCTCTCTCTCTCTCTCCCTCCCTCAAAATAAACAACAACAACAAAAAGTTTTTTTTAAATAATAATGTGTTTTGAAAGCCATGTTAATTTAGTCTTTATTTTAAGGGCCAGGGTAAGCCTCTAGACCAGTGCTCTCTAATCTTTTATTCATTACTGCCCTAGCTTCCTGTGAAATTTCAATTCCGCCAATCTGCAGACGTTCTGTAGCAGCCCTTTTGAGGGCTGCAGACCATTACGCTATCCAAGAGGTTTTCCTCTCCAGAATAAATTTCTGCCCCCTTAGGGGTGATAGCACGCTGTTAAAAATGCATGCTCTAGGCAGTTTTAAACAAAAAGTAACATGATCAGACGTACATCAATAAAAATACAACTCTGACAAAAAGGAGAATGGTTTGGCACAAAACGGCACTGGATTACGAGGAAACCAATCAGAAACCTGAATGATCCAGGTTAACGAGGACAGAAAATGCCCAGGAACAGTGGAAGGGAGGATGGACAAACACAGAGAGCTGATAGGAGCAGGTCATAAAAATAGATGTACTTCAACTACGGCCCCTGATGATCTGGAATGAGATGGAACCATGGACCTACTCAGGGAAAACAATGGAACACTGATGTCTATAACCATTATCTACAGGGGAGAACTGGCAACGAGAGACACAGAAATTTAAAAAAATATACAAGTACTACACATAGGTGCAACAAAACCAGTCAAGAGATCAAGGGACTGGGCGCCTGGGTGGCTCAGTCAGTTGAGCGTCTGACTCTTGATTTCAGCTCAGGTCATGATTCCAGGGTCGTAGGATCAAGCCCCACATCAAACTCTGAGCTGACAGTGTGGAGCCTGCTTGGGATTCTCTCTCTCTCCCTCTCTCTCTGCCTTTCCCCTGCACACACACACACTTTCTCTCTCAAAGTAAATAAATAAATACTTAAAAAAAGACCAGACCAGGGGCTCCTGAGTGGCTCTGTCGGTTAAGTGTCCGACTTCGGCTCAAGTCATGATCTCACAGTTTGTGAGTTTGAGCCCTGTGTCAGACTCTGTGCTGACAGCTCGGAGCCTGGAGCCGGCTTCGGATTCTGTCTCCCTCTCTCTGCCCCTCCCCCTCTCTCTCTCTCTCTCTCTCTCTCAAAAATGCATAAACATTAAAAAATTTTAAAAATAAAGGGGGCGCCTGAGTGGCTCAGTTGGTTAAGTGTCCGACTTCGGCTCAGGTCATGATCTTGCAGTCTGTGGGTTCGAGCCCCGCGTCGGGCTCTGTGCTGACAGCTCAGAGCCTGGAGCCTGTTTCAGATTCTGTGTCTCCCTCTCTCTCTGCCCCTCCCCTGTTCATGCTCTGTCTCTCTCTGTCTCAAAAATAAACATTAAAAAAAATTAAAATAAAATTTAAAAAATAATTTAAAAAATAAAACAAAGAGATCAAGGGATTAAACAACTCTTAATTATTTTAGAAATTATGCTCTTGGACTCACACAGATTACTTTAACCAAATTACTTCATTAAAATGGAATATATAAAATTATCACATGCAATTATATAAACTGTATAGGTGTTTGCAAACTGGTAAAAATGGAAGAAGCAGGGGCACCTGGGTGGTTCATCTGGTTAAGCATCTGGCTCTTGATTTCAGCTCAGGTCATGATCTCACAGGTTCGTGGGATCGAGCCCCATGTTGGGCTCTGTGCTAACCATGCAGAGCCTGCTTGGGATTCTCTCTCTTTCTCTGTCTCTCCCCTCTCCCCCGCTTGGACAAACTCACTCTCTCTTTCTCTCTCTCTCAAAATAATATATAAGCTTAAAAAAAATAAAAAAGGAAAAAGCAGCCAATTTGAGTCATGCTAATGGTCCTCTTCCACCTAGAAAAACCTGAGGTATCCGTCACCCCCTGGGAAACCATTGCAAAAGGAGAATTTCATTACAAAAGATGAAAGGGACTTAAAAACTAGAGTCTAACAAATATTTTCTAATTATTCAAAAAGAGGGCAATGCTGGACCATGAAATGTTAAGTCTTACAGGGCCTAGAAAGAGGAGGGAGATAGCGTTCTTGGCAAGAAAAAAATGAGCAGAAAAAGGAAAGCATTTTCAAGAACGCTTTTTGCCCAGAAACACATTATTTTAAATCATGTTGGATAAACAGAACAATTATCAAAAATATTCAAATGATAACAAAACAGGTGTCATTTATAACACGGACTGAAACAGGGGCACCTGGGTAGCTCAGTCAGTTAAGCACCCGACTTCAGCTCAGGTCATGATCTCACAGTTCGTGAGTTCAAGCCCCGCGTCGGGCTCTGTGCTGACACCTCAGAGCCTGGAGCCCGCTTCAAATTCTGTGTCTCCCTCTCTCTCTGCCCCTAGCCCCTCACATTCTGTCTCTCTCTCTCTCTCTCCCTAAGATAAATAAAACATTAAAATACAGACTGAAACAGTACAAAGCACGACTGTGTTCCTGCCGTATCTGCACGTTCTTATTTTTACGTTCTACGCACACGCAGGTGTGCACATGCACACACACCTGTTAAAAGGTGGACAAACAACACCAGGTGTCGGGCTCACACCTTCCCCGGAAGCGGCTTTCAGAGAGCCAGTACTCAGCCGACCCACCAAGCTTTGGGTGGTCTCTCCTACGTGCATCGCACTATGTCACAGCCTGTGTCGGAGCAGAGGGCCAGCCCTGAAATGCCAGTCTGACCTGGTGGGTTCTTGACTTCGTAAAAGCTTCCCCGCAATTCTAGCACAACTGCACTGTTAGAGCCGCACCTGAATAAGATGATCAGTCTCGCAGAGGCTGGATTTCTTGTACCAGGTACTAGAAATCAGTATCCAACTAGCAGAACACAAGAGCGATGCTCTCTGGGCCCGCTGGAACCTTCCGTGTGGCCAAAGTGGCCCAGAGTTCTGGCACAGAGGCAGAGCGACAGGAAGAAGGCCACCCCCCTTCTAGGGCATGGAGGCCCAGTGTTGCAGGGAGCCAGGAACACTGGCTGTTCTCACCGCGTGTTTGTTGCGCATTTGGACATCACGTACTCACCACAAGTTGACAAAGTTGATGAAACTGGGGGAGAACTCCCTTTCCTCCGAGTTACTCAGCTGTGGAGGGTCTCCTTTCACGACTTGTGTTAGTTGATCGAATACACTATTCCACTTTGGGTAAGGAAATCGGCCTGTGGCTAACTCGTACTAAAGAGAACACAGAGGGAAAAGCAAGACATACAAGATATATAATTTTCCCAATTAGTAAGGCTAAGCGGAAGGGGTGTTTAGAAATCAAGGTAATACAGAGAATTCCGTATCAACTGAGTTCAAGGACTGGGACTAAAGGAAACCCCAAACTTAAGCCCGGACCATGTCCCCACCACATAAGAGCTGGGATAGCCCTCAATTCTGATTCCTTTGTGTGAAGGATCCTGGAAGGTTGGCTTTAGAACACTCTTGGTACAAAGTCTGCACAGTCGATAGTTATCTGAATGGAAGGCCACGTCCAGAACAGTGGTCATATTCATTTTTAAGGGAAGAGAAGGTTCAATCAACAAAAGCCCAACCTGAGCTCAAAGGAAGCAATGTGCGATTCTGTTCCCCAGCCATCCTGTGGTTACTACAGTTCTGACCACAGCCAGGTATTACCACAAGAGAAGAAATCAAGTCTGGATCAAAACCCCAATGGTGGGGTGCTCAGGACAGCATCTCTAAACCATCCCAAACCAGATCCAAAGGATCTTACAGACGTTATGTCCCAATTGGTCAAAGGTCAATTCTCCCCTTTCTCTTGCTCTGTTCTGAGGATAATGAAAACCCAGAAATTGTGCTTTTTCCGAAAAAATAGGTCTAAGTCTGCAGCATGGCCTAAATGAGCCCCGTTTTAGGTATGCTGGTAGGTGATTGCTATGCGAGGGTGTGACCCCAAGCTCATGAGAGAAGAAGGCATCTGAGAGGCAGCACTGAGGACAGCGTCTCAGGGCTTCTTCCGCTGAGGGCCGTGGGACCTCATTACAAAGGGGAGGAAATGAACGGGAAAGTTTGGGGCTGCCTACCAAACAGGGCACAGCCCCATCTAGTGATGGGAAATTCACAGCCCATGTAGAAGAAGCTGTCCAAGGTCAGAAAAACACCACCAAGCCGTGATAAAGCCGCAAGCACAAGAAATCTAAAATTTCAAAACAACATTTGGTAACAAAGATAAGTAATGAGCAAATACAGATAACTTTTAAGATAGAAGGAAAATTTCAGTACAGGTACAGGTGAGAAAGAAGAATTTGCTTAATTGTGCTTAGCTGCAAGTTAAGTAGCTTCCTTACTATTCTTTCTCAGTGTTGTTTGAAGGTAGAACTTTCATTAGGTTTATTACCTCGGATGTTCTGGTTCCACAAGAACTGAATTACTTGTAGCTCATTCACGTGTGACTTTTCTGTTCAGTGAGTAGAAGATTCCAAGTAGAAACTCTGCTCGTCCGTGTAAACACATACACCTAATACACATGCTGTACAGAGAGTACATGCTATTCCCGCTGGAGGCGGCAGGAGACAGGTGCCTTCACCGCTGCACTGCCCGTGGGGGCGCCGCCCTCCCCCGTTCCTGTTCCTAGTGCGGTTGCTGACACCTCGTATCTGTGGCCAAGGGACCCAGCACGACACCAAAGAGCCCAAGGCACTTCGTAAACCTTGAGGGAAACTGTCAACTCTGGTTTGATTTTTAAAGTAAAACACATACTTTTTTTCAACAACTAGAAGATATAGTCCCTGTGATTATGACCATGGAGGAAAAAAACAGGTAAGTAAAGTCAAAGACTAGGGGAGAGAGAGAGAGAGAGAGAGAGAGAGAGAGAGAGAGAAAGGCAGTTCTTATGAGGGGTGGAAGACTGATAAAATTTTCTTTCAATGCTAAATCTACCATGACGAACGTACCAATGTGATCCCCAAACTCCAGACATCAGAGCGGACATCATATCCTTGTCGAGATGCACTTGGGTCTATTCTTTCAGGCTGGAACACAAAGAGAAGTCACAGTCATTAATCATGCAAACCCTCAAGGTTCAGGGTAGAAGCAACCGCTGGGTAGGTGGCTGAAATGCCAGCATACTTCTAGAAGAATCCACAAGTGGGGTCAGACTTGGAGCAACAGGAAGCCATCATTGTATTGAAAACAAGCAAGAACAATCCACAAAACCCAACCTAATGGCCACCTCCATAAAGGGAAAACAAAGTGACTCTTCTCATGTTCCCCCCTAACGACTCCAAAGCATGTGCAAACCGGAAGCTAAGAACAAAGAAAAAAGGAAGAAAACTGGAGAAGTGAAAAAAAAAAAATAATTACGGGGTCAGATTAGTAAGCAAGTAGTGGTAAACAGAAGAAGAAAAAAAAAAAAGACTAGACCTTCTCTGTTTCAGGGAATGAAGCCACACCACAATATATCTGAAATACAAGAGCAAATATAAACTCAATAAATTCGTTATAATTATTCTACCCACTCTTCATCACAAAGCTAAATTTAACACTATGCAGAGCTTTAAAGATACCTATTAGTCATTTTTAACCAAATGAGGCACTGGCAAAATATATTACCCTATCATGCAAACAGTGGAAGTCATCTTTAGTAATTCCCATGAAGGGAGCATTCTTTACATGTCCTTGAAATAAGGGACCATTAGTTCCATACGTGTCAGGGATGGAGAAGAGAACCAGTAGCACAGAGCTGATAGTCCCTAGGTAAGACTGAGAGTGAGTACTATTGAAAGAAACGTCCAGAAGTCTGATAGTTGACTGTTATAATCTCTGCCCCTCAGCAACAACTAGTTTGCAGATTTATTTTACATATTTTTGCTTTGAACAGGAGTACTGAGGCTGTATAAATACTCACTGGAGGCTACTTAGTTTTTAGTTGCGGGTATGTGTATTTACCTGAGAAGATACACATTACATAAAAATCCCGGACCGTCAACCAAGAGAGGCACATACTGTGCCCAAAAGAGCCAGGGTATACACACTTTTCTCAGGCTCACATGGAGCATTTGCTGACATAAACTATGTTCTGGGCCATAAAACACACCTTATTTTTTAAAAAAGAAATCATGCAAAGCGTGTTCTCGGATCGCGAAGTCACTCAATTAGAAACCAGTAACAGAAAGATATCTGGGCAATCCCCAAATATTTGGAGGTGAAACAACATACTTCTAAATAACCCGCAGATCACAGAGGAAGCCTCAAGATAAAGTAAAATAGGGGCGCCTGGGTGGCGCAGTCGGTTAAGCGTCCGACTTCAGCCAGGTCACGATCTCGCGGTCCGGGAGTTCGAGCCCCGCGTCAGGCTCTGGGCTGATGGCTCAGAGCCTGGAGCCTGTTTCCGATTCTGTGTCTCCCTCTCTCTCTGCCCCTCCCCCGTTCATGCTCTGTCTCTCTCTGTCCCAAAAATAAAAAAAAAAAT